TGTTTTTCTAGGTGGAAATGTTGTCCTACTGGTAATAATCTTTCGTGGGAAGCCGACTTGATCCAATTACGATAATTATTAATTTTGTAGCCATTCAGATTTCCCACATATTGTTTCTGGATTAGCGTGCATTCTAATAGGTTAATTATGTTATAACTTCCACAGTTAGAGTTGTGGTAGATTTTGAAAGTAGATTTAGTGACTGAGCTAGTGAATGAATTGGTATGTCTAATGTGGTTACAGCATAAGCTCCTTTTGTTGTTACATAGTTTGGAAAATCCTGATGTTTTTATTTTTGATCTATTACGGGTTACCTTATCATCTGAAATTTGGTTTGAGATGTACTATTTCCCAGCGACTTTTGATTATCTGAGATGGAAGAGTGGTGTTGAAAGTGGTTACTAGAGGGAAGGATTTATTTTTAATTTCATACATTAGGGTGTTTTTTCTAGGTTTGGAAATTGCTTTATTTATTTGTTACCTGATTAGGTGTTTATAGCCATGTGTTGTGAATTGATGCTCGAGATTTTGAGTGTGTTTACTTAGTTCTTCATTGTTAGAACATATCCTTCTCAGTCTAAGTGCTTGTGAACAAGGAAGGTTCTCCTTGAGGTGTTTTGGGTGGGAAGACTTAAGGTGTAGATAGTTGTGGGTGTCGGTGATTTTAGTGTGTAGTGTCGTTTGTAGCTTTCTGTTTTTATCGATGTAGATGCAGGTGTCTAAAAATGTTACCAATCTTGGTTTTCTGAGGTCAAACTTAATGGAGTCATGTACCGTGTTTAGGGTCATAAGGAATTCAGTGAGTTTCTCTTTACTGCCCGTGTATATAAAGAAGATATCATCAATATATCATGCATAGGATATGCAGTCGCTACCGAGGTAAGGATAAATATGAGTCTTCTCAAATTTTCCTATGAAGATTGTGGCATATAATGCAGCTACTTAAATGTAGTGTTTTCCATTGAAATCGAAAGTATTCAATGTAAGAATATGTTCCATAAGTTTCATTATTACTTTTGTTTCTAGTTTTGTTCTTTGAGTAAGTACTTCTTACTCAAGGGCGTTTGGTCCTTCGATATGTTTGATGTTTGAATAAAGTGATCCTACGCCCTCGATTACTAGAGTAACATGTAAAGCTGTTTGTATATGATTAATTCTGTTTAGTATCCATCTATATTTCTGAGATGAGGTATTATGTACATTATTTACATTATTCGGACTATTGTCCTCATCGTTGTCACCATATTTATTACAACGTTTCGGCCGTTGTACGCTCCGGCCTTCTTCAGGTGGTTGGAATGTCGAACTGAACCCTTTATTTCTCTCACCGGATTGCACCGTTCTTGTTCCACGTGCCATGTTTAATGGATGTCAGTTATCAGAGAACTTTCAGAGGGAAAATTAATAGGAGATAACTGATAAGTGACATCCATTAAACATGGCACGTGGAACTAGAGCAGTCTACCCCAGTGAGCGAAATAAAGGGTTCAGTTCGACATTCCAACCACCTGAAGAAACGTTGTAATAAATATGGCGACAAAGATGAGGACAATAGTCCGAATAATGTAAATAATGTAATTCTGTTTAGTAGGTATGTTGTGTCTCTAATGTAGGATTTCACTTCCTTAGCTAGTGGTTGTATTTAATGGTCTACGTATTTGGTATTTACAAGGTTTTAAATATTTGAAGGTATTTACAAAGTTTTGAATACTTGAAGCTATTTACAAAGTTTTGAATATTGAAGATATTTTCAAAGTTTTAAATACGTTGAGGGGTTTACAAAATTTTAAATACTTCGAGAGGTTTACAAAGTTTTAAATACTTCGATGGGCTTACAAAGTTTTAAATACTTGAAGGTATTTACAATTTTTTAAATACTTGGAGGTATTTACAAACTTTTAACGATTGAGAACCGGAGATGTCATTACAATTCCTGCCAAAAGAAGGATATTATAAACTTCGGATTCTTCCGCCTCCTCTGTTTCTGAAGTGCGCTATTGTTGGGCATGCACATAAAACGGCTTGAATAGGTCATGAAAAACAAACAAAAAAGAATTTAGAATCACGATATTTACAAGATCATTGTGTTTCTTGTTTAGTCTGGATTCTCGTCTTCGACCTTGCCGCCAAGGGTGGTCCTACCAGGATTGTAGAACTCACGACAGTATCGTTCTCAGAGACATTGGACCACGCAAGTCCTTTCACCACGATAAGGAGAGATCATCAGTGGTACACACATAGAAACATACATGCATAGACATATATAAATTTTACACTGAATGTCGGAGTAAACAGTTCGTCATCAAATGTTACTTTAATGAAAATAATAGAAACATAACAATAAGTAAGAAAAGACCTCAACGGCTGAACAAGATGATGATTACAACAGATCTCAATGGCTGAACAAGATGATGATTACAACAGATCTCAATGGCTGAACAAGATGATGAAGAGGGCTACGCATGACGGACATGCTACAGAAGGCGACACTGGAAATTATAATAGAATCAGCGGCAGTCCGTTGCAGTTTCATAACTGAATTCTTCATATCTCATTCCTTAAGTGCTGCAGAGGAAGGTCATGAAATCAAGTGTGTGGTTCACTTCCTAGCCAGTTGAGGTCCACCTTAAACAATTGACGCCATCGGCACTTTCTTCTACTCTGATTTTCTTTCACCTTCAAGCAACTCTTGCAAAGCCAAACGGCGATAGGGAATAGATGACAGGAACAGGTTTTGTTGAAAACCGAAGCTTCTAGTCCTGAACCTGCACGTTGGCCGACGATGTAGTCATCACCGCCATCATACTAAAGGAAGCAGTCAGCAAAGAAGAAATTCAATTTTTCGATACAAGATAAAGCCGACAACAATGTTCTTGTAAAAGAGAAAAAATTTTTTATTCTCTGACGGAAGTGGATAAAAGTATGATAAATAAACAAACAAACAAACGAATGGCATATTTAGAAAACCACTGATATCACTGGATCCTGGAAGCTTGTACCATCCTGACGACTTAAAGAATTTTTATGTATATACACAAAAAGGAAATAGTCGACTGAAAATAAAAGAAGAATTTGTTTTAAGCTAGAATTGACAATATTCTTAAAGAGCTCGTATTAAATTTTATCAACGTTCAAAGATCAATACATTGAGCTTAGAGGATTGAACTTTTATATTTCATTTCAAAATAAATCTACATTTTCACAGAATGAAAACAGTACACCTCAACTAACACCGATATTTATTTGGAAAGCAGGTGTAAATATGCATCAGATTTTTAATGCGTTCTTTTCAGAGAGTTTTGTATAACAAATGTTTTACTGAATCTCCATTGAAGCTCAAATAAACCTCAACTGAATTTCCATTGAAGCTCAACTGAACTTCCATTGAAGCTCACTTGAACCTCTATTGAATTTCCACTGAAGCTCAACTGAACTTCCATTGATCATCTAATTTGTCATTTGAATCCCCTGTAAGCTTATTGATATTTACAAAGCTTAATGTATTTTGAAGGTATAATTGACGTATATATTAAAAGCAGTGTTATTAAATACATGAGCTTTTATCAACGTTCAGTGATCATACATAGCGCTTAGGGGAGTGAACTTTTGCATTTTGTTGCGAAACATTTGTATATTTTCACTGAATCAGAAGATTGGTGTGAAGAGTAATCGTTTCTGCATAATAATAAAACACATTCGTTAAGATTTTCCCGAAAAGCATATCTGCTTAGTTTTGTGTCCGAAACGTAAACCAAGCAATTTCTGAAGAATTAATGGATTTTACTTTTTAATTTAGTGGATACTCGTATTTTAGTAGACGCTCCGTTCATTTTAAACAGTATTTATTTCGTCTACCGGTCTGTGTACTTGAGAAAACTTAATAAGGAATACGTTTCGGGAAAATCTGAACGAGTGAGTATGCTTTTAACAAATAGAACTTTGCTTTATTATGAATTTCTTTGTAGCCGCGTGGTAAAACACGACGGATCAGACGGCGAAGGATGACGTAGGTTCGAATCCTTTTGGAGGGTATATATTCTTTATTAAGTTTTCTCGTGCCCTTGAAATAAAGACAATGTGTACTCAAATAAGAGAAAAAAAAATATTTGAAGTAATGGAAATAAACCATCTCCTGTCTTGTTGAAATATGTTCATTTTTGTCCTTTCCTCAACCCTCCCTATTTTCAGCTTTCTCTTTCACTTTCATTTTCACTTTTACTTTCATTTTTATTTTCACTTTCTGTGCATTACGTTCTTGCTTGGCTTGAAATTATTACAAAAAAGGCGAATTAAACACTAGAATCCATTTATTTTTCAGAAATTACTTGAACTAGACATATGAAGATGAAATTGTTTATCCCAATCAATATCGATTATTATCTAAAATAATGAATATGTTTTATGAAGTGAACAGTACAAAGCAAATTGCAAATATTTATCCTTAGTGAAAGCCGCTCTTACAACGCACCACCAATTTGCATCGTACTGAGGTAATTTCGAGCCCAAGCGAAAAAAGAAGTGTTAATAGGTCCTCACCAATTGATGGCCCTGTGCCATATTTATACTTAATAACTTATAAATAAAGTTGTTCCGAGTTCTAGAGAGTGAAAGAGAGACAAGAGGGACAGACAAATGAGAGACAAATGAAAGTTTGAAAGAAAGATAGTGTTGTGGATCCCGCGTGAAAAATAGGTATCCAATAAATGACAAACGCAAGTATTTAAGCTAAGAAATTAAATGTATTTACACAAAATACAAAAGGTAATGCTGTTAGTAAAATCCAGGAACACGGTTAGTAGCAAATACAGATAGATATATACAGTCTCGAAGTAGGATTTCCTTAGAGTCTACGTGCTTGTAACTGACTTCTACAAGAGGTTACTTTACTCTATCCGCCACCCTAAGACTCCGGTACGACTTTTGTACGACTCATCTTCTCTGCCTGACTGTGGCTATTTTATGGCAGCAGGACGAGTCCATTATATCCGAAAAGGGTGGACCCCATAACAGATAGGTAAAGATAGAGGAAGAGAAATAAAGAGAGAGAGAGAGAGAGAGATAAAAGAGAGAGAGAGAGACGAAAAGGAAGACAAGATTAAGAAACACAGAGAAAAGAGACAGAAAGAAACGAAAGACAAAAGAGAGAGACAAAAGAGAAAGACAGAGAGAGTGAAAGAAAGAGAAATGAGAGAAAGAAAGAGCGAGAAAGAAACAGAGAGAAAGAAAATAAAGGCAAAGTAGAGAAAGAGAGAGAGAAAGAACGAGAAACAAAGGATGAAGAGAAAGAAGGAATAAATAGCAATGAAAAGCAAGTTAGATAGAAAGAAGTAAAAATGAGTGACACAAAAGATAGGGAAAGAAAGAGAGTAAACAAAAGAGATGAGAGAAAAAGAGAGAGACAAAAGAGAAATAGAAACAGAAAGACAGAAAGACCCAAAAGATACGGAAGTGAATAAAAAGAGAGAGAAGAGAAAGAAAAAAGAAAGAGAGAGAAACAAAGAAAAAATAATTAAAGAAAGAGATAAGAGCTAAAGAGAAAGAGTGAAAAGGAAAGGAAAGGAAAGGAAAGGAAAGGAAAAGAAACAAAAAGAGAGGTAAGAGAGAAAAAGGGACAAAAAAAAGAGAGAAAGAGATTGCGTCGTAAATGCATGGATTATATTTCTTTATCTCCTTCACTCACACGCAAACTTTTTTTTTTAGTAACTAAGTAGTACCCTCCCTTGTATTTAAGCACCTATCCAGTTGTCAAAACTGATAAAGAGTATAGCAGTCATTGATTCGATTATCATTCTCGTAATTAAAAAAAAATAGTGGATTGATCAGGACAACGCTGCGCCTCTTCTGTCTTCACCATTTATGGAACCAATGTGTAACTGGCTAGGCCAAGAGAAGAAAAAAGATCATTATGACTGGCGATAGGACAGGTCTTCGTTTGTATTTCTTTAAAATAAACAAAATTTAATTCTGGGTTAGTACTAGAATATAAGAATATTGCGTCAGACTCGCCTACATACTGTTCCATCTCTTTCCTGCACATTGGGACTATTCCGACGCAAAGATGAAAACTAGTAGAAAAGATGTTTGTGATTACATTTTCTGGTAACCACTTTTACATATGCCAAGTCAACTCAGACAATATTCCGTAAAGTTTAGCGCTATTTTTTCTTCTTTTTTTTCTTTTAAATTTAACATCTACCGTATTTATAACAAAAATTTTATCATTTGCTTATTTGAGAATGTTTTATGGTAAGGTCTTTTCTTTCTTTTTTTCTTACGTCAGTTAAAGCATAAACATTTCTCCAAAACACTTATCAAACGGAATGAAGTAGATATATAACAACTGACATTCAAGAAGTCGTCTGCGTACTTTCAAAACTCACATGACAGTAACATGCACACATAAACGCGCGCGCAAACACACGTGCGCGTGCGCGCACACACAAAGCAAGACAAAGAGAAAAATACTGGATTGTCTCCCCTAAATTACAACTACTCTTCTTTGAATGCTCTTTTTCTTACGTGTAATTATCACAGAAATAGTATCATTACCATAGTGGAGATTTACTCATAGAAACAATCAATATCTGGAAAGTAAGATCAATATGACGATTTAGTGTCTGAAATATTTTTCTTTTGCAATAGAGAAATAGGTAGCTAAAAAAAAAAAAACTAATAAAATGTCTAGTTACGAAAGCTTTCTTAAAAATGCACAAATCCAAATTTTTATGCCAACTATCGGAACCTTCTGCAAGTGGCACTCAACGTTATATCATACAGAAACTTCGAATAGCTTTTAACTAAAATATGGCCGACTATAAAATAACGAGGAAGTTTTAAGAATGTTTTCTTACTTTTATTTATTCATGTATTGAATGCATTTCTGCTAAGAGGTAAGCCATTGTATAGTTCATGAAAAAAATCTTTAGAGATTTCGACTTGAGTAGATAGCTATAAATAATTGAATAATGTTATGTTCTTATCTACTTATATTAGTTCTAGCACAAGACCACACGTATAGGACATGAAGTGAGGATCTAATTCACTGTTAAGTAGTAATAATCAACTAAACTAGTTCGTTAGCCATTACTCCAAAAAGAATCTCCCTTCAACATTACAATGTTGACGAAGGCGATAATATAAAAATCTGGTTTTGAGTAATAATCCATTCTAATTCTATAAGAGAGAAGTTAATGTGTACTGTAATATAAAAATAACTTTAAATAGAAGGTTATGAAGCTTTATTCGACTAATTCAGCTTTAGCGCTGAAAAACGTTTATTTTATTGTGAGGGAAGGTTACAAGCGAGAGGGGAGATGGGATGTGTTTATTTTATTACCACATATACTAATAAGATTTATCAAAACTACTTCAGTTTGTTTTAGGCGGGGAGTTCAAAAAGATCTGTCGAGTGCTTCTGCATGTCTTTAAAGCAGATGTCATGTTTTAAATATGTTATCTTTCAAAGATAGAAGCTCTTGTGATAGTTTCCCAGTGTTGATAGTCGAGTTCTCCTCTGTCTTGTATTTTAAGACATCATAATCAAGAGCTGATTGTCGTCTACTTCTGGGCCTTATTTCAAGGAGCAAATGACTACCGTTAAAAAGCCAAAATCAGTTTTGGGAAATACGATAAGATTTTCTTTCAATTATTTTCTATTATTTTCCATTATTTTTAATTTTTATTGAATTTATTTTATACGACGTTTTTGTAATTTTTTAATTTATTTTATTTATAATTTTCATTATTATTATTTTATATTTTATTTTTATTTATTTACAATAATAATAATAATAATCCTACAGATCTCAAGTTCACTTTAAACTTTTATCATCATCCTTTCCTCTATCACGCCTCTTTACTCTTGCTCGCACTCTCTATAACCCCTTGGGTGCTAGTGGCACTCCCGCCTTGCTTGGGGGGAAATGCTTAAAGAAAAAAATCAAGCTGTCAATTAAAATCATTGGAGAATATTAGCAAAAACGAAAATTGGGTTATCTCCCCTGAATTACAACCTTTACGGTTCATTAAATGTCTTTTTATTTGCGTATTATGTTATCAGAGTATTATATTGCAAAGGAGTGGATTTTACAAGTTGGTGATAATAATTAGTCCTTTAGGTTAAAAATTAATGTAAATTAGCGTAAGCAACAAATGACATACGATCCCCATTACTTTTATTGTTATATTCTATATAGACAGAAAATTTTTAATTTTGAGAGCATCAAACGTTTTTGGAAATACCTGCAAATAAAGCTGAAAGTAGCATTTCGAAAAACTTAGATAATTGTTGTTAGAATAAAGAAGAAAAATATAAGCAACTCAGTTTGGGAATCTTGCCATTCGGCGAAGTTTCATGGCGGGAATGTCAACTGGTTAAATTCAGTGATGGAATATTGAAAAGATTTGTTAAATGTTTCTGAAGAATATGTTAGTCTATGGACGAACGTCCAAAAAACATTTAAAAAAAGGAAAAGAAAGACCAATATGATCGAAGCCTTGCAACTGATTTCTTCTCTGACGAAGATGTTAAACTCAATGGGAAACTCTAACTTGTATTTTTCAATACGTCAATCATCAATCTCGTATCATTTCATCATCGATCAGACACTGACTTTTCTCCAGTCAGGATAAAATTATTTTTTTATCATTTCAGTGAAGTCGCAACAAAGACTCTATACTTTGATCGTCTCTATTGGATCTGCGGTGGTCCACTCACATCATAAGAGCAGAAATTAGCGTCGTATTCACGGAGATAAAAGCATACTTGACAGGAAATTGTAGTGAACAAAACAAGATCTAGATTTAAAATTCAAATGCTAAGCACTGACTCACTGATTTTGTTAGAAACTAAAAAGACTCGAATTTACAAACTTTGCTTAACACACACGCAAAAGTGAATCCAAAACAAAACTCGTGAAATTTCACTGAAACATATCCGGAAGTGAATTCCCAAATGACCTTTTCAAGCCCCACAAACAAATAAAAGACAGGCAAGTTCGCCTGTCACCAGAGAGAAGGAGACGAGCGTATTAACACGTCCCTTGGCAAACGTCAAGCGATCGTTATTATTATCTCTACCTTTCTCCCTCACCTGTTTTGTACTTGATAAAGAAACGGAACATTTTAAGACTGAGCGATTACTTCAAAGACATTCCTACCCTACGATAACGCTCATACATACATACATACAGACATACATAATTCCACACATACATTCCTGCCTACGTACACATAAACTCATTCTCGCAAGGACTACTACAAACATTTTGACAACCTTGTATCAACCAAAATACATTAATTTTATTTATAAAGACCTTAATTGATTTATATGTATATAAATTTGTTGTTTCACCTTGCAATTTGATTTTCTTGTTTTATAACCCTCTTATGGTGGGTTATCTAACTAATAAGGCCAAATCAAACTAATCTGTTTCAACACTCATACACTTCACTATAACTGATAACCCACTATAAAATAAAATGTATAGAAATAACAGGGACGCATGGTAAATTGTATGTTAATTTCATGCAATTTATTTATATTTTTCTGGTGTGTATTGAGATGTGTACTTTTTAGGTTACAGTTATTTTATGGTCCATGTGATAAAACGGAAGTGTGACGGTTACACACCTGGCCCAGTGTCGGATCCTTTGGTTACGGCGCCAACGGTGACGTCGCTCCTCCTGGTCGCTCCTCCGGGGTCCAAGCGTGCCGCTCCAACCCTTTGGTCAGATGATCACCAGCCTCGCCTTTCCCGACTCGCTTCCAATACCTGGTCACTAAAGCAACTATACCGATCTCCGGTCTGTCTACCCACGCTGTGTTTAGATCTTAGACAGACGGGACCAGCAGGATCGGGGCCGATACAAGTTGAGTCCGACGGGGTGGCAAAACACAAATAAAATAAAACTCACGACACCAAACAAAATGGCTGATAAAAAGGTAACAACCTTTTATATCTTAAAGTCCGTTACATAAAAAACAAAAGTGTTCTCATTTCCCGACCCGCTCTGTGGACTATGGCACCAAGCTTCTATCACACAATAGAAAAATGTCGAATTACCTACTTTCTAGAATCATGTATGTATGTCGGAGTGTGGTTCAGTTCGACACTGGGGCTAATTTCTATCGATCATTCGCAGTTGATTCTTCTCTCCGACTTGAGTTGTATTTCTTCTTCTTCGTCTGCTTGGGCTGGTAGTTTTCCTGTTTCAACTTGGTGGAAGATTTCTTGTTTCAACAGCCGCAACTCTCTGTCGTCTGAGGTGGTCTCTTCTCACTGCCGTCCGGAACTGAACTTTAACTTCTCATCGACTTTCGGCTTGTCTGCAGCTCCAATTCTTCTCAGGCTTTCAGGCAATCTTCTTCTTCATCTACTTGGGCTGGAAGTTCTTCTTGTCTGAGGGTTCTTTTCTCGCTGCCGTCCGGGGATGAACTTTAACTTCTCATCGACTTTCGGCTTGTCTGCAGCTCCAATTCTTCTCAGGCTTTCAGGCAATCTTCTTCTTCATCTACTTGGGCTGGAAGTTCTCTTGTCTTCGACTTGGGTGGAAGGATTTCTTGTCTGAGGATTCTCTTGCCCGCAAAGGGGCGAGTGAATCGGGCCTGATGCCCGCGTTCAGGCTCTATCCCTGCCCGCGGTCCAGCTGCAACTCCACTCCAACTGCAACTCCAACTGATTTCTGTCGACTGGGGTCCTGCTTATATTGACGCCGCAACAAACTGGGGTGGGTCTGTCGGCGTCAGGGTTTTCTCGATAATTCCAAAAACTGCATTAATTCTGTCTTCTCCATTATCGCTATTGTTTTCGCCCCTACTTCCTCGCAGTACCTTTGGTGGGGCGGCGCACATCCATCTCTCTTAGTCTCTCGTATGTCAGGTGACCGCTTTTCAACCAATCGTTCCCGATCGAGCATTTCTTTCCTTTTCTTCCGCAAGTCACGTGATCGTATTCGACCAATTGTTATTGGTCGAACATTTCTTTCCCTTTTCTTCCGCAGGTCACGTGATCGTATTCGACCAATTGTTATTGATCGAACATCCTCTCCCCTCTGTTTGCGGGCGTGGTTACATCGTTCTTGTTTAAAAAAAAAAATCCAATTTTTCCCTTTTTGCACGTACGCAAAATGACAATCTTTGGCTTTCTCTCCCTGGACTTTGTCAACAGCCCGCTGCTAATTAGTCTTGACTTTAGAAAGGATCTTTTCCGCCTTCTTGGCGCCCTCTGTGAGCCAAAAGCAATTGTCCCTTCTTTTTACCTCTTTGTTTTTCCTGATAGTCGAAAATCTTAATTATCTACATTGAAATGTCTCTACTTTATTAACGTGGGTGTCCAATTCTTAACAGGTCAAGATCTGTATATCGTTCCACCGGTAACTCCCCTCAACCCAAAAACACTTTTCTCTGATTAAAAATTTCATTTCTATTGTTCTAAACCAAATTGATAAGGAGTCTCTCCACGCAAAAGTCGGTCAGATGCTTTGACGATATCTGGTCTACATCAGCGGCCCGTTTTGATATCATGTCTTTTTTTCCCTTTCTTTCTTCTTATTATTTATAATTCTATTCTTCCAATTGTCTTTCGAAAATCGGCCAAGACGCTGACCTAAATCTCTTTCTGACTCCTATCTCCACCCTCAATTGGGTCATGCATCATACAACTCTTTTCTTCTTCTTTTTCTTTTCTTTTTTTTTTCTTCTTCTTCCCTTAAGATCGTCTAGTACAATCTTAGTGAATTATTTTCAACTCAGTTATTTTCCGTTTTAAAAAAAAATCAACGACCTGTTTAGTAACCGAGTAAGAAAAAATTAAATCATATTTCTATGAATATTTCTAATAATGCAAGGTGCCACAAAGAGTTTACTCCGTAGTATTACAAACTATATCATAGAGAGAAGTCGGACACATGTTGCCCGTACCAAGGTTCGTGGTGAAGGGATTGAATTTAACAGGATGTCCGTATTTATGGCAGGAATAGTTTTTGTAGCATGCTGAGAGTATTTTTTTTATTTTTAAAATTTATTTTATACAACGTTTTTATGTTATTATTTTATTTTAATTATAATTTTCATCATTATTATTTTATATGTTATTTTTATTTATTTATAATAATAATAATAATAATAATCCTACAGATCTCAAGTTCACTTCAGACTTTTATTGCG